AAAAAAAAAAAAAAAAAAAGAGAGAAAGAAACTGATAAACTACCATTTACTTCCTGTGATACAAAACCAAGGTGGTGTTTTTTGAGACAAGATCTCACCTCACAGCCCAAGTTGGCCTTGAACTCACAGCAGTCCTTCCTGCCTTAGACTTCTAAGTGCTGGAATTATAGACGCGTGTCACTATGCTATCCCAAATATTTTAAAAATACTTTTTATTTTGGTGCCAAGGACTGAACCAAGGGTTTCCAGCTTGCTAGGCAAGCATTCTACCACTGAGCCAAATCCCCAGCCCCTAAAAATACTTTTGTCTTATCACTAATCTGTTTCTGAATTTTTCCATAATAAACATGTAAAGGGCCAGAGAGATGGTTCAGTAGAATAAGTGCTTGCCTGGCAAGCACAAGGGCCTGAGTTCAATCCCTGGTTCTGAAAGAAAAAAGTGTTACATAATAAGCATGTAATACTTTTGTAATAAAAAACTTTTTTTTTTTTTTTGGACCACCAGGAGGCTGGGAGAGGAGGATCCTGGAGAGTTCCAGGCCTTGGCTACATAGTGAGTTCAAAGCTAGCCTAGACCACACTGGGAGACCTTGTCTCAAAACAAAACAAAACAAACAAACAAAACAAACAAAAAAAAAAAACCAAAACCAAACCATAGAACAAAACAAAAAATTTTAATTAATTAATTTTGTAAAAATATGGTCCAGGAATGGTGCTGCATGCCTGTAATCCCAGCACTTGAGAGGCTGAGGCAGGAGGACTGCTGTGACTTTAAGGTTCAGACTGCAAAACTTTTCTCAAAAAAAAAAAAAGAAGAGAAGAAAATATAGGAAGAGAAAGTAAAAAGGAGCTAAGATATGTTATACACATGTGCTATTTCTGCATATAAAATCATTATGTACTGCAAATATGTACTAAAATTAATTCAAAAAAAAAAAAAAAAAAAAGAGAGAGAGAGAGAAAACAGGAAATCATTAAGGACAAATACAGACACAAGTTCCTGCCCTCCTTTATTCTTTTTCGCTACCAGAGCCTTGAGCTTTTGGACAGGTGCTCAGCTGCTGAGCAACATCCTCAAACTCCTGCTTTTCTTTGATGTAGTCAGGTTACAAAGTCACAGTGGACAATGAATTAATTAATACTGAGTTACTGCTCCTGAAGGAAATGCATGCTTAGTTTTTCTATAAGCTTCTGATCACATTTTTGCAAAAACATTTATAACTTTGTTTTATGTGTGTTTCCGTTTATGGACACCTTATTTGTCATAAATTGTTGAGTACTTGCTTTGGCAGCACATCTACTAATATTGAACTCAGAGCTAACAATACTATAGCTGTGTCTGAACATGTATGTTTCCTCCTAGGATGGATCAGCATTTTAGCACTAGACAGCACTTCAGCACTATGCTGTTCCCATTTCAAATAGCAAAATCACGAAAAAAGGAATTAAAAACAGGCTGGAGGTGGAGCTCAGCAACAGGAATCACATGTGAGGCCTTCCTTCAGTGCAATCTTTAGCACCAAACAATAAGAATTCCCTCAACCCAAAACACACAGTGGTATCACTAATAGATGGCAGTGACCCTTTGAAAGGGTCACCTGACCACAGTATGAGAACAGAAACAAGGAGGCCTGTGCTCCTTCCCGGCCCCCATGGGACATGGCATTATGGATAAACTAACATTTTTGCCACCCTGTGAAAAGTGCTAGGAGTGTTGATTTTAAAGTTACAAATTTTAGAAAGTAGGTGAGTTCCCAAATACAATAAAGGGGGTTAGCCAGGTGTGGTGGTGTATGCCTGTAATCCCAGCACTTGGGGAGGCCGAGGTGAGAGGATTGTTGAGTTTGAAACCTACCCTCTGTCTCAAAAGGGCGAAGAAAAAAAAAAAGTTAGCCATTTTACACTAAACAAAAACCAAACCAACCACAACCAGAAACCAACCTTGTTTAGAACTCAAAAGAAAGCCCTGTCCATATGCCCAAAGGAGTAATTTTTCACACAATCCTTGCCAAGAGATGCTTGAGCAGGAGCCTCTGAGGTGGTAAATGCCAATACAAGCACATCCCTCTGTGCTAAAAAGGACACTCTTTAAAAAAAAAGGAAGACTTGGTTACCAAGACTCCAAGTTGTTTGGTTGTTCTGGACAAACCCAAACACTCCCTCAAGATAAGCAAACAAGCTGCTGATTAGATCAGAAAATAAAATGGGTCAAATCTTCAAGTTTCAATTGTGCCTCTTTAGTGTCTTGTATCCAAGTATGCCACAGTTATTTAGGCATCAAAGGGAAGAACATCAGAAAGGCTTTCATGTATAAGAATCACTTCACTCAAGATATCACGTTTCTATTTAGAGTGGAGATGGGATCTTGTATGTTACCATCACACTATATAGTGGCAAGCTTAAAACGTGGGTTTTTAAATTAGTGTTTTTAAAAAATACTTATATTTTTTGTTTTTATTTATTTTTGCAGTACCGGATATTGAACTCAGGACCCTGCGCTTGCCAGGCAAGTACTTATTCTACTGAGCTATCTCCCTGACCCCCCAAAATACTAATATTATAATATTCATCCAAAGATTCAAATGCAAAAAATGCAGGAGATCTTCCACAAAGAGACCCAAAAAATCTGAGCTCACTGGATCCTACAACAATGTCCTGCATGAGTCCAGCTGAAGACCTAGAGTCCATTAAAATGTGTCATGCAGGTCTGTATCAAGGATCTGCACTAGGAAAGCCTGAAGGTCAGTGGTGGAAGATAGAAAGTACATCAATGGGATAAAGGATGTGTGCCAGCAGGCTCAGGATCTGCACTGAAACGAGGAAGGGGATCCCAAAAAAGAACTGCACCCATCCTGACCTCCTTCAGTGATGAGACCAGCCGAGTTTACATCAGGAAAACCATTGAGAATCAACAGTACACCATGTTCCCTTCCAGTTCTCCTTTTTATGCTATTAACAAGCCTCAGGTGCAGCACCACTCTGATTCAGTTCAGGTGGGTGTTACAAGTTGACTAACAGTTAATCTACCACAATGGGATACACACCTAAATCACAGTACTTGGGAGGCTGAGGCAGGAGGGTGTGAACAAGACCAGCATGAGCCATATTGAGTTACAGGCCAGACTGACTGATTACACAGTGAGACCTACCAGTTGTGGGGATGAGGTAATGGGAGCATGATTGTAATTTCAGGCATTAAAGAGGCCAAGGCAGGATGATCACAAATTTAAGCAGTTTGGGCAACTCAGCAAGATTTTGTCTCAAAAAATTAAATAAATAATAAAAAGGGCTGGGAATGTAGCTCACTGGTAGGGCACCTGGCTTCCATTCCCTATACTTTCCCTCCTCAGTGTCCTTGGCTGGGCCTCTCTTGTCCTAGTCCATTCACTAGCAGGCTAGGTTTCCCTGGGGACAATCCGTTGGCACACTCTCCCAAGCCTCAAGCCAGCAGGCCTGCCAAAGAGGATCCAGGCGCAGAAGTCACCTTGTGGCGCCATTAGTAGTGCAAGCGCCAGGTCTGGGTCACACCCACGCTCCAGCCCTGCCAGACCTCTGGTCAGTCTACTGCACCCAGCATACCTTCAGTGTGGTAGAGCAGGCTCTGCCTCCGGGGCGGAAGGAAGGTCCATGGACCAGCAGCTCTTTCCCTGCCCTCCTCTGTAGCCACCAGGCCCTCTAGAGGGGCATGCTGGCTGCTGCAGTGCAGCACCTCCCTCCCTTTACGTGGTCTCAGGCCATGATCCTTCTGGTCCCCCAGACACTGTGTTTTCTGTACCTACAGGGGCATAGCTCCCAGAAAATGTAAGTGGCTTTCCACATTTTGATTTAATGGCTGGCTGTGTCCAGATCTCTAATTACTGCTAAGAATTAAGAAAGGTTTCAAGACTGGACCACCCTACTGAGCTGGTTTCTTCCTGATGAAGTTTGTACCAGGAAACAGCAACCAGAGTAAAACCCATTCTTACCTGAATTAAATGAGTGACCACATGGACATAGGCTCCTGCAGCTGCCAGAAACATACACAGGGCAAAACTGGCATAGACCTTCTTCAGGTGCTGCTGTGTTGAGGGGGTTCTAGGAAAGAATATTTGTAATATCCATCACTCCTAGACCAATCTCATCTCTAAAGAAAGAATTATTTCTCTTTCCAAGGGGGAATATGTGTAAATTGTATTACAATAGTTCTGAGATATTTTGTGTATATTAGAATAGGAAAAGTTTGAAAACTGTTTAAGAGAATCTTCAATTCTAAGAAAGAGGGGCTGGTGAGATGGCTCAGTGGTCTAAAGCACCTACTTAGAACAAGCTTAGCAAAACACGTTGACCGTGGTTCAATCCCCCAGCACCACATGCCAGCCAGCACCGCCCCCTGGTGGGCTGAGCTGGACACACACACAAAAATAAATAAATAAAATAAATTCTAAGAAAGAGCCAAAGCCCAAATTTATGAACAATCAGTACCCAAATAAGAATAAATGACTTCCGTGATCACAAAGCCACCTTTAGAATTTGGGAATTTTTGTCAGGTCTCCTGGAGTCTAGACAAGTTCATTTGTTAGTTTATATAAAAAGAAACCAGATGGGGCTGGTGAGATGGCTCAGTGGTCTAAAGCACCTACTTAGTACAAGCTAAGCTAAGCAAAAACACAGGGACCGCGGTTCAATCCCCCAGCACCACATGCCAGCCAGCCCCGCCCCCCTGGTGGGCTGAGCTGGCCACACCCACACACGCAATAAATAAATAAATAAATAAATATTAAAAAAAAAAAAAAAGAAACCAGAAATGACAAAAAATGCAGGGAGGAATCAAGTCAAATTTAAAACACTTACATATGAGAAAATTTTAAAAGAGCATCAAAGTTGATCTTCCGATCAAATATGTTCATGGTTCCAGAGTCTGTGGGACAGTGTCTCTGCTCTGTAGAATAAAGAAAAGTTATTGCAATTATAACATATGAAACAGCACAACTCATAAAAAATAGCAACATACAAATTTGGAAAAATAAAAGTTAACTAAAATCCTACAGCTCTAACAACCATTTTCATTCTTATATATGTCCTAGAGCACATTTATCATCATTGTAAATCATTTTAGAGATGACAAAGGAAAAAAACTCACTTCTACTCAAGTTTTTCAGAAGATAATTTGCCCTTTAAAAGATGGTAAGAGACACTAGCAATCTAGTTTTAAGGAGCCCATAAAGCAATAAAACTACTAGGACTGGCATTTTAAATATGCATATATAGGAATTTTTCTACTTAATACATTTTAGAAATAAAAGGAATTCACAATTTAATTTTTATTAAAAATGGAATATTTTTTATCTTTGTGACTTCTGTTAAGCACTCGTAATACAACTCATAAAGTTAGTGATTCATCAAAAGAAATATTCTAAAGAATAAATGAAGTTTGACACACTCATGATTATTAGCCTTTACGACAAAAAAAGTGTTATGCTCTGTGGGTTAGTGGAAGTGAAAAGGGAAATATTAGGTGTCAAATACGTGGAGTTTATGTTCCCAAAGTCAAAGAATGAATTCTAAGGAACAGTGGAGGTTTTTTTTTTTTGAACCAGGGATTGAACTCAGGCCTTGGCAAGCACTTATTCTACTGAACTATTTCCCTGGCCCCCACAATGGAGATTAAGAGTACAAAAATTGAGAAAAGGAATGGGGAATAGGAATGGGGGTAGGGAACTGGATTAGCTCCCGAGAGACAGGAGGTCCTAAATAAGTTGCTGGAATTCACAATTTTAAAAGGAATTTTTTTTTTTTTTTTTTGGTGGAACCGGGGATTGAACTCAGGCCCTTGCACTTGCCAAGGCAAGGCTTATTCTAATGAGCCATCTCCCCAGCCCCAAAACGAAGAAAATTTCTGTAACCCCATAACAATAAATTTTTGTTATGGCAAAAAAGATTTTTCTATTTTTTAAAAAATTTATTATTATTATTATTATTCTTTGGCAGAACCAGGGATTGAACTCGGGCCCTTGCGCTTATCAGGCAAGCGCTTACTCTACTGAGCCATCTCCCCAGCCCAATTTTTCTAGTTTTGGAGTCTTTCTTATAGAAAAATTGGAACATTTCAAGGTTTCTTTTATATTCTTGGCCAAGATATCCTAAATGTAATATTTTTCCATATTTGTTTTATCACTCACATCTATCTATACTGTCAGGGAAGGTTTAAGTTTTTGAAACAAGGCCTAACTCTGTTAATTTAGGCTTTCATTTTGTGAAATGAAAACTCCTGCCTCAGTTATCTTGAGTGTTGGCTGGCAGGCACACCCAGTCAGGAAGGGCTCTTTTTCTTTTTTTGAGAGGGTCTCACTGTGAAGTTTGGGCTGTCTTTGAGTTTACTAAGTACCGCAGGCTGGCCTTGAACTCGGTGATCCTTCTGCTTTAGCCTCTCTAGTGCTGGGAACACAGGTATGTGCCAACACACCCAGCTTCATACCTTTAAATTTTGCTTCTCTCCCACCTTGTACAATCAACAGAACTAAAAAACCTGATCAAGAGTCCTCATCTTTCCCAAATATAAACCCCCAAATTATCATTAGATCTATGATACCATCTATTTCAAATGGGAGAGGGGAAGGAACTGTATTCAAACACAAAAGCTAAGATGTTTGGCTGGGCACAGTGGCACACACCTATAATCTCAGCATTTGGGAGACTGCGGCATTTATTTAATTTATTTATAAATAAATAAGTTTATCTATCACCATAAATTTGAAGCCAGCCTGGACTACATGATGAATTCAAGATTAGCCTACCTAAACTACACAATTGAGACCCTGTCTCAAAACAAAAACAAAAACCATCACACAAAACAATCAAAAACATATGTTGTTTGAAAGGTCAGCCATTAACCCCCATTCTAATTAGCACAGGTCCACTTGCACTTGGCAAGATTAATCTAAGCAATGAATTACATAATCCTGAAATCAATTTCCTGAGGAACCTTGGACTAGTGAAAAGAGACCACTCTTGAAATTCACAAGCATCATTACCACTGGTTTCTTGAAGTTGTTCTTCCTCAACAATGAAACAATCACAATGGCTGGCTAGATTTCTCTCATGTCCTTTGTCTCACCAGTATCCCACTCACCTTACTTTTTTGTTATTTCTGTTCCTAAGGACGGATACAGTTGAAAGACTGTAGAACCTAGTAAAGCTGCTGCTCTGTCTAAGTCATCTAGCTCTGGGCTCGCTTAATCTAGATGGTGCAATTATTGCAGGCTGTTGCAAGGTCAAGTACAACCTTCCTACCCATGATGAATGCATCCTCTAGAGTACACTTACAGGATGGCAGAATTCAGGACCTGGAAAGTGTCTTTGTTTAAGTCATCCATTAACACCCTTAATGACATCCCCAGACACAACTTGCAATAACACTGAAGCAACCAGCAAAGCCAACCTTTTCAGTACTCATAACAGCAACGGAGAAGTATCTATTGCTTTCAATTTCAAGAATCAAAAGGGAGAGAAAACCTCAAATACCCAGAGGACCGTTAGTCAGAAAGGGGCAATACTCATGTAACCATACCCCTCTGAGTGGAAACTGTAGGAGATGACAGAATGACAGAAACTCTAGGCCAGGGAATTGGCTCAGTGGAACAAGCGCTTCCCTGGCAAGTGCAAGGGCCTGAGTTTAATCCCTGGTTACACACACACACACACACACACACACACACACACAAGAAACTCTACACTTTCCCAGTTTGCCCTTTGACATTTCCCAAGGGTACTACTGTCTCTTTCAGGGACTCTCTTCTTTTTCCTTTTTTTTTTTTTGAAATAGGATCTAGAAACAGAATTGAGGCTAGACTTGAACTTACTATGTAGCCCAGGCTGTTCCCACCCCTCCCGTGTTTAGGATAGGGACTACAAGGTCTAACTACATATATTGGACTTGTGATTCGCCAGATTTCAGCCTCCCAGGTGCTGGGATTACAGGCACGTGCAATCACTGTCTCAGCCTAAACAGGTGCTTTAGTCTGCTGAGCTATTAGGCCGGCCCCTCCAGGCTGCTTTTGACTCAGGAATCCTCCTGCCTCCGAATGCTGGAACTACAGACCTGTTCCACCATACCCAACCTCTCTCTTCAAAAATGTATGAATTGTTAAGGTCAGGTGTAGTGGCACACCCCTGTAAGCCTAGCATTCAGGAGGCTGAGGCAGAAGGACTGTTGCAAGCTAGAGGCCAGCCTGAGTTACAAAGTGAGCACAAGGCCAGCCTGAACTGCTCACAGTGAGACCTTGTCTCAAAAACATGAGTACACATACATACACATAATTAACTTATTAGTATATTTGAGGGACATAATGATTATATTCATTGTGGATTCTTCCACAACAGCTGATGGACAAACAAAAGCTATCAAAGCCTGTATGGGTATGGCCAGCAAGATAGCTCAGCAGACTAAGTGTCTGCTTACACAAGCACAGGGACCGGGGTTCGATCCGCATGTTGCACCAGCCCCCAGCCACCCGCCCCCCTGCACTGAGCTGGCCACCAGCCACTGAGACAGGGTGTGTGGCACATGCCTGTAATCCCAGTGCTGTGGAGGTTGGAAACAGGAGGATCACTACGTCTGAGCTGCAAAGTGAGACCCTGTACCAAATACATAAAATTAAAAAGAAAAAAAAAGTCTGTATGGGTCACCAGGGAGATGTCAAATTTTACCTTCCTTGGGGCTGGAGAGATGGCTCAGTGGTCTAAAGCACCTACTTGAAACAAGCTTGGCAAAGCACAGGGACCTCTGTTCCACCCCCGGCACCACATGCCAGCCAGCCCCGCCCCCTGGTGGGCTGAGCTGGCCACACACACACACACACAATAAATAAATGTAATAAATAAAAATAAA